CTTTCCTGAGGATATTGATAAATCAGTGGCAAGCTAGTTTTCGTCTGAAATTTCGATTATCAAATAATAAACCAAGGATAAATGAGGGAGTACTTTCTGATGAATTTTTCGAAAGCCAATGCATGCTTCTTCTCTTCCTCGTTAATCACTGAATGCTTCGCGTACGCACACAGAACCAAGAAAAGCAACAGAAAAACGACTTGAAAAGACGAGCCCATTAGCTATTCCTGTAACTAGCCATGGCTACTTTAAAGCAACCAGCAAGAGTATTTTGCAACAGTACATCTGTAACTGTTAGTATTGGCTGACAACACTGAGAGTTTTCCAGCCGAGGCTGTCACATATTTTCACTTTGACTACTTCTGACCGTCTCCGACTTTCACTGCGAGCACTTTTCGAAGAAAGAAGAGTTGGTTTTTGACTTTGTAGATACTGCATTTTGCTGGCGGCTTTCAAGATAGTAAAAAGTCAGACTCATTAAAGGTTCTTGGAGACGATTTCCAAACGATTACTAACAATTCTTTCGTTTTCAAGATTTTATCCGTTACAAGAATGCTAGCCGTATAAATTCTTCTGATTGAAAAGTTTTAGAACAGTGCGTATGAGAACATCCCAGCAAGTGAGAACCTCACACCGACTGTTCTGGTGGGCTTATTACACTGATATTTGAGTTCTCGCTTTGGAAGACCAAGAATAGAATGCCAGACAGCGGTGATACAAGCAGGATCCAGACTGTTTGTCGCAATGAAAATATCAAAAGAAAGCAATTTTGTTTGGAAGTCCTCTTATCTCTCAAAATATCAAAAGAAAACAATTTTGTTTGGAAGTCCTCTTATCTCTCTCATTTGATAACACTGTCTCCTGATATTTTGAGTTCGTCTCGTCTGTTGTAAACATGGGTTTTTGGCAGAAAACAGTATCCACAAATTCACAGAGCTGTGGTACTCATAGCAGTAATTAGAACTGTGGAGAGAAAGGAAGGGAAACGGAGAGGAAAAGCAGGAAAGGTGCGAGAAAGAGGAAAGAAGGGAGGAGGGGCGGAAGAAATCTATCAAACAACTCATCGAAACTTCATTCCTTTGAAGCAAATATCCATGATACTGTAGTGTTCCTGGTTAATTAAATGAAATAACAAGATAGAAGGATGATGTGCAGAAATCCGCACTGTTTCGATGAAATTTCAAGTCAGGTTTTGCATGCTGCGTTTTTTGTATGCATGTGGTATTAGCATTTCATATGCATGCTCCAAGTAAAATTTCTTGTAATAAGATTATCAGTTGGAGGCAAGAATGAGATGCAACAGATGTTATATGTGACTTTTGTTCTGTGTCATCCAGAAACATGAAATGGTTGAAATTCAATGATTAGGGAAGTTTCAGCGAATGGGGCTGAGGGTTTGCATAACCATGTGACCTTGAGGAAGTGTCGTATTTTGCGTCCAGTGCAACTATGCAAGCAAATAATATTTATGTTGTTTATTTGTTATTGTTTTCTAGACAATCAGTTTCGCTGATAATAAATAGACATCAAAAATCGCCCTCTTCGCATCGTGAACTGTGCAGATAAAGCCATCAATAATAAGACAAATGATATTTTAATAGGAAGGCACTTTTAAAACAGCGTTGGCCTATGCTCAAAGAACTGTTTGCCCAAAATCCGACAATTTGTGGCCATTCGGCCAAAAGAACAGTAAAACATGAAAGACTAAATCATTGTTTTTCTCCTGATATCTTACCCTATAATTTTCATCTAACACTATATCTTGCCAGTTTTTAAAGCAGTACGCTTGCAATATTTTAATTTTCGTTAAAATGCTATTATAAGTAGGATTTAAAAAAGCTGTACTGGAAAATGATGTTGAGGATTTTTGCCTGTGCTGATAAAAGTTATTAACAATCTAAAAATACTTCTGGAAGAGTAAAGGTACTGCAAAGGCAGTCAATTTCCCTACAACGAATGCTGGTAGAAGCATGCAGGTATTCAATTCATATTTCACAAGCGCTGGCAGAGGAGCTAAAATACTTAGTTGACATTTCGCTAGCACCAACGGATGCACAAAAGTACTTAAAGTATGCGAAAAATTCAACTGTGATCAGTTTTTACTTAGTTCATTTTGCGAGTACTGGCAAAAGTGGCAAGGTGCTCAAATTCCAAAAACTGGCCCAAAAAAAGCAAGGATGCGTCTGAGAGTCGCCATGGATAACTTGCTTTGTTGTGGCAAGGGTGCACCTCCTCATTTTCGTTCAAATTCGAAACCGATCTCAGGCTGTTTGAATTTTAGTAAGTGGTTAGCAATGAAATTTATAAACAAATACAAGTCGAACAAAGCTATGTTAATGTGCATGATATACAAGCTAATTTTATGTGTTCCACAGGCACTGATTTTAATAACTTAAAAAATATTAAATTTTTTTGTATAATTTACGAACACACCGTAACAGCAGTAAAGGATGGTGCCAGTGATACTACATAGAAGGTGCTGGTGCTTTGTTTCAGCTTTTCACTTCTGCGCGCCGTAGCTTCGTTCTTCGGACTCGCAGAGGTTTTGCCCAGCACCAAAACGAATGTAGCCCTGCTCGCCCCATCTGCAGATCACGAAATTATCAGTGAGTATCATCGTGTGATGCAAAGAGGAACAGTCCACTACAAAATCCACAAATTCCATCTCAAAAGTATATCATCCTATCGATGGGTTTTTGAAAATATCCTCTAACTCTTTGCAAACGAAGCTCAAAAAGCTGCTTTTTCGGTCAAAAGGAAAAGCCCCTCGGCTTTAGAAATGATCAATTTTGTTAAGATTTTTTGCGAAATCCCATTCAAAATCCTCTTCTCCTGGCTCAGAATGTGTGTTGAGTCTGGGCGCTGAAATTGTAGGATATCTATAAGTATTTGCTGATTTGAAAACCGTTTCCAGGATATCCACAACACGGCGATGAAGCTGCAGCTAATTGTTCGAGCCCTCGGCTTTCTGCACAGAAAATTCCTGTTTGCCTTGACGCCATGTCAGCTAGCAGATTTCTTGCCACTGCACCATGCCAGCAATAGATGTTAACTATAGCTGTTTTCCTGAACAAATCAAGGCGCTAGGATCAAATTTTGGGATTCGAGCGCTTTTATAAAACTTACGACGTTCCCCAGCTGTTTTTGATGATGTAATAGGGATTGTTGCCTTCGTAGTCGAGGCCAGCAATGAGCCAAGCATGCCCACCTACATTAGAGGCGCATTCTGCCTGTGTTGGCCGATAGACCAGTCCACCTTTGAAGTACTGCATTGCATGTGTGACCAAAACCGCTACAATAAAAAGTCTCAGGATTGTCCAACAAATTTTCTTGAATTATATCAATAAGAGTTTTTTCTACTTTCTTGTAACACTAATATTCGCCATTGACGTTCTTTCATAGCCACAGCGGGTAATAAAAATTTACACTCTGTGTATTTCACTTTGATGATCGCAGCAACAAGCTGACCACTGAAAAATACAAGACTCACAGAAACCTCCGCGTACGAGTAATTTACAAATAGTGTACATATAATGTGCATATCAGCGCAGTACTTACTAACTAATGATGAGCAACTACTGAAACCCGACTAGGCCGCGCAATATGCACTCACTTTTGAGTCCGGGGTTGAGCAGCAAAAATCGTGGTACTAAATTTTTTGTTTAGGCACAATTCTAAGTGTCGCATTATTAAACTGATTTGTTCCTACAACAGCAACTTCCAGACTGACTATAAAAGAATTAGCCTCTCACCCAGAAACTCCTCCCTTAATTTCATCTCGTACGTCAAGCAATGTCTCAACTCCTTCTAGTCAATAACTCTGTCCCTTCTCCTCCGTTACTGCTCGAAGATCCAGATCATCACCAAAGCCCTCAGCCCTTTCCCAGCTTTCATGGCTTCACTCTTCTGCTTTTCCCATTCCCCACTTATTGCGACTTGCATCGCAACTTAACCGAGCTAAGTTAAATTTTTATTAGCTGCTGAGATGTTGCGGTTGTGTTATCGGCGTTCGAGTTCAATTGTACAATTTGTATTTAGAGGCAGTTAACCCGGAAAAGTGCACTTTCTACGCTGGACTGAGCGTCTAGAAAAGCTACCAGCTGCAGATTTGGTGAAGCAGACGAAGTACAACTGGGCAAAGTACCAAAGTTAGTCATACCTTCTACAGATGAGGAATGAAGAAAACTTTAAAAACTTTATTGCAGCAGGACTCACGAATATCTTTTTTAATGGAAATAATGTCGTGATCTGAATAATCGTAGAAAATGCCAGAATTTAATGGTGCGCTTGTAAAACAACGATTGCAGTAAACCTATGTAAACTTACGGGATAAAGTTATTTGTCTTGGAGAGAAGCGTGATCTAGGTTTTGAACAGTAAAATGGAAGAATTCAAAAAAGCAAAATTTTCTATTTGCTTTAACTTACCGGTGTTTCATTTCTCTTCTCTTACCTGTTCACTTCTCCCTCTTTCTTCTTCTGGTAATATGAAAAGAAATTCATGGAAACGAACTTCCAACAAACGGGCCTTTAGTTGCTAAATAATTCTGCATGGATTGAAAACCGGCAGGAATGCTGACTGTCGAGCTGAGAGTACCACGGCCT